CCCCCCCCAGAGGTTTGGTCCCAACGGGACTGGGGCTGTCTCCACTGGCATCACTTTCCTCTGTGTGACCGGGCGAGATTCCCCCAGCTTCAGCCGTGCCTGATGTGAGCCGTTCCCCCTTTTGAAATGGCATAGGGAGGCTGGTCCGGTGTGAGAGGGTCTCTGTCACAGCACGGGGACCTCCATTCACTGGACAAGACGCTCACAGCTCCTTGTTACACCCTTCTGACTACAGCCCTCATGGGTGGTGACACCAATGTGTCATCGCAGCCTTGTGTTGCTCGTTCAGCAGTTTGCAGGCCGGCAAAGGTTGGGTTTATTTGAACTTATAGTTGTTTCAGTGGTCATTCAGTTTTATTGGTCCGCTTGCTGTGAGGAAATGACCCTCTGCTTTTTTTCCCCGCAGCAGTTTGGAACGTGGCACTTAATCATCCCTGAAGGTCTGGAACAGATGCAGTGATGTTCCAATAGAGCAGTTACAAGACCTTGACTGTCAGTTATTGATTTGTTTCCTCCCTTTGCTTGCCAGCAGCAGCTGGCTGAATTTGTGTGGGAAGGATTGAAGGAGAGTCTGTTTCTGCTTTCTAGAGCGAAATATTTGGTACTTGGAGTTAGAATAAAATGTTTTTTTCTTTTTGGGAGGAGATTGCTAATGAGTCCAGTTTCCTTTGTGTGTTTTGGAAGAGCAGAACAGCAGAAGCAATAAGCAGGAGACCGCAACACATTTTGACTTCCTTTTTCTTCTTTAGGATGGGATGCGTTGTATAATGTCAGTGGAGCTTGTCAGCTCTGTGAGAACTCACCTCCTTCTTGTGTGTTTTTCTGCCCGCTAAGAACTGGAACGATCAGGACCACCTCGCCTTTGTGCAGAGCCACCTCTCGGATATGCTGGAACTGCTGCTGGAGCCGGAGCAGCTCACCACCTCCTCCCATTCCACCCATGGTAGCTTGGTGTCCTACGAAGCTGTCTGTGCCCTTAGCTTTCTTATTGAAGGGACCATGAACAAATCCAGGGGGGTCCGTCCTCTGCACGAGCTTGCCCTCTGGCAGCCCTGTCACGAGCACAACGGCTACTCCAAGGTCTCCAAAGCCTTCTCTTTCTCCAAGCTAGAGAACTGGCTGCGGTCTTGCCTCACGACAAACCCTTTTGGAATGACTGCCTGCCTCAAGTCCGGGAGGAAACTCGCGTGGGCGCAGCAAGGTATCTACAGGCCTTGCCTTTGTTTGTACAATTAACTTTTGCGTCTCGGTTTCTCTTGCTGACCAAGGATCTGGCAGTGGCATGGGGGCTTGCCTACTATTCTTCCTGCTGTCAGTGGAGATGGGGAGAGTGCCAGCTTAGAGGAGAGTCTGGGGGACTAGAGGGTGCTGCATGACACCTGTGTGTATTTTTCCAGTCCTTGGAGCACTTTTGTGAGCAAACATTAGTGACTTTCTTTTCCAAGGCCCCCTTGAATGAGGTCAGTGTCGCTATCCTCATTATTCGAGTACAGCTGGACGCAGAATAGATAATGTGATGTGTTTGTGGTAAAGCTGGGAACTGGTCTAAGTTTTCTTGCCTTGAATCGCATCTTCTCACCTGCGAGGACACAGCAGTGGAGCCAAGGCACCTTCCGCCTCAGGAGAAGAAAATTCAGATTCAAGTTTTGTTTCTTCTGACTGCACAGTAGTAAGAGTGACGGTGCGTTAGGTGGGCCAGCAAGGTTGCTTGAGGATTGTACTGTAGAGGGAGCATTTCTCTGTCTTAAAATGTGCAGTTCCTGCTTTCAACATAAAACGTGCCCTAAGGATCTTCCTGCCAACCTAAGTCCTGTGTTCAGGAACAGACTTCTGGAAATGGAGCTGCCTAGGTCAGGGCTCTCTGTAGCTTGTGGAAGGCTTTGTCTGCCCCTGAATAATCTTGAAGTGTTTTTGATCCTTCAATGTGCCCCGACTTCTGGAGCTTTTGACTGCTACATGCTGCTGACCTGCCCAAAAGGCGTCAGTGGATGGTATGATGTGTGTGAAATGATGTAATTTGATGGTACCATCCCTCAGGTTTTGGGCTGATTATTTTCTTGAGGGACTTTTGAGTGATGCAGACAGGGAACCATCATGTCTCTGTCTCTGTAGGAATCATGTATAGTGTTTTTGTATGTGGATTTGTTTTGTTTTTTTAATTTTAAATGCATTGGTTAACTTTATTTTGCAGTTGAAGGAACAACCAGGAGAGCAAAGATTGCCTGCAACACTCGTGTGGTGCCTGAGGTGTTCCCCATGGTGATAATGAGCCAGGTGTACAAGCAGACCCTGGCCAAGAGCTCGGACACCCTGGTGGGGGCTCACGTAAGAATTTATCGCTGCAACGAGTCCTTCATTTATCTCCTCTCTCCTCTCCGGTGAGTTTTTGTTTTCCTGGGACACAGCTAGTCTTCAACAAGTTTGTTCAAGCACTAAATTCTTGTTAGATGGACTAAGCAGTGAAAAACTCCCGGTTTTGCTCTTTCCTGCTCACTGTGTCCCCGCTCTCTTGTTCTTTCACAGGTCTGTGACCATTGAGAAGTGCCGGAACAGCACTTTCATCCTTGGCCCCGTGCAGGCGTCTGTTCATGTCCACAGCTGTGACAATGTCAAGGTCATTGTGGTTTGCTATCGTTTGTCCCTTTCTTCCACCACTGGCTGTACTTTTTACATTCTCACGCCTACCCAACCTCTCATCCTCTCGGGGAACCAAGCAGTGTGCTTCGCCCCTTTCCACACCCATTATCCCATGCTCGAAGACCACATGGCTCAGGTGGGCTTGGCCACTCTGCCAAACTACTGGGACAGCCCTATGCTGGTGTGCAAGGAGAGCGGTGATGTGAGTGTCTTCCACCTCCTGCCGCCCTCGGACTTCTACACCTTTGTGATTCCTTTTGAGATGGAAGGAGACACCACAGAGACACCAGGTGGGCTTCCCGACGCGTATCGGAAGGCGCTGAGTCAGCGAGAGCAGAAGCTACAGATCTGGCAGAAAACCGTGAAGGAGGCAGGCCTGACCAAGTGAGTGTTGCTCCTCCCCAGGAACGTGTGAGCTGTGTGGGAGCTCAGCTCAGACGTCCAAACACACTATTCATTTGATGTGGTTCAACAAACGTGCTTTAATAACAAGTTGATTTGTGCAAAGCATGTCTTGTGTGCCATCTCTAGAGCATTAGTAATTAGCAATCTTGGGCTCCTGGTCTTTGCTCTTAATGTAGTGAGAAAAATAACGTTCACAATCGTAACTCTGAAGGAGGTGCTTTGTCATGACTGCATTTTCCTAGCTTGTGAGACTCAAGGAAACTCATTCTTAAGTCGGGCTGAGGGCTGAGGTGAGGGATCCGCCCTGGCAGTAAGAGTTTCCAGCTGACCTCCCACTGGGTACTGTCTCTGTTCTGCTTCCAGTGTCACATGCGGCCGTGGGTGAGATCTAGGCATGTACCCTGAATACTGGCCTGCAGCTGACTAGCCTTAGCCCAACCTTTACATTGAGATTGAAGCTTTAAAATACTGTCCCGTCAGTTGTCGAGGTGAGCTAAGAACGTGCATGTGGACCATTGCAGTAGGTCACCTCGGGGACAGTAGCTTTTAAAGTCCTCTTTGGCACGTGACATTGAATCCCCTGCCCAGCTGTTACGGTGCTAGCTCGGCCTGCCCTAGCCCTGCTCGTGTACTGATGTGTGTCTGTTTGCTTTCTCAGCGCTGTTGCAGAGCTCTGGAGAAGTTCACCTTGCTTCCTTTGTCAGCATGCTTTCTTCTACGGCCAGACAGATGGGGCAAGGGTACAAATCTCTGCCGTCTTCAGTTTAGCTGCTTTTATCTTTTTGTGAACTGTTATGACGCAGCAACCTGAAGGACCTGGCTTCCTTTGCAAATACAGAATGGGGACAGAAACCCAGATATTCAATTGTAAAGGCTTGAAGAGATGAGAACAGCTTTTGTTCATGAAGTTGCACTTGAGCTCTATAGATTTTCTTTCTGTTCCGTGCTCAGTCGATGACTTGTAACGGGTGTGTAACTGGGAGGTGATAAGCAGTGATCTTGGAGGGGTTTATCCTGTGGGAAACACAGAGTAGGAAAACCTCCTCTTGGGTCAAACTGTCCATGCTTCCCATCATACCAAGCTGAGGACTTCTAGTCCATTTTGTTGTTCATTGTTTTTGGAGGAGCTCCCTCTGCTTCCCTTGTTCCGTTCTGAAATCCAGGTGCCTCTGTGCTGAGTGTGGAGGAGCCTGTGGTTTGAAAGAGCTCTAAACTGCGAGGAGGAAAGGATTCTGGAGCAGGATTTTGCTGCAGGTGGAGGGTGGCGGAGCAGTAGTGGTGGTGACAAGTGTAAAAACCCTCAAAACTCCTAGTCCTTGAGCCTTGAAGGGCAGCAGAAAGGATAGTTATAACTTTGGCCCTTGTGCTAGAGGCATCTGTTGTGTCTGTCAGCCTCATCTAGGGTGCTTCTTCCACCTCCTGCCATTCCTCCCAGGGCTGCTGCTTCTCGCCTTGGGGTTTTGTGAAGGTGTTTGACCTGTCAAAATCTTACTGTGAAAGAAATGGGAGGTAACACAGATGATATGCTTTGATTTTAACATCCTCTACCGCAGTCACAGGAGGTAAGAGCTTGGTACTGGAGTGGCTTATTTCATAAAAGGGGGAAAACTGTGCCAAGTTCAGGAGCTTGCTGAAAAGAAACTGGGCAGCTGACAGTGTAAAAATGTCTCTGGCTCTTGCAGGCAGGGAAACAGCTAGAGAGACAACGAGGAAGCTTAGAGCAAACAGGATATCAGACTTGTAGAAAGAAAAAAGCTGCCAGGCTTGAACGTGGAGGTGAAAGAGAATATTAGAAATAAGATGACATCTTTCAAGAAATTGAAGTTGTCTGAATGAGGAAAGTGGAACAAAAAAAGAATGTAAATCCTGTCAGCCTGAAAGTAAAAACCCCGTAAGACAGGACCAATAAGACAGCTTGAGGAACAACTTGCAAAAGCATAAAATCCTGTTTATTCATTTTCTGAGCATATCAGACAGAAAGTCTTTCGGGGTCAGAAGAAGATCAAGGTATATAAAAAGCACTTGGAGAAGATAAAACCCTAAGAAAAGAAAGAAGTGACTGGCTTTGTGTTCACATTCCCTGGGCAGGAATTTAGGTTAGTTTCTGTCCTAGCACCCTGCTTTCTGGGGAGTGTCTCAAATGGAAGCCATAGTACGCCTTTAACTTGCAAAAAGGGTCTGGGCACACTGAGTCTCTCTGAAACTGGGTGGCACAAAAATGAATCGGACTGGTTTGCTGCTTCTCGCAGTACAGGATGGGATCAGCACATCAAATCAAGAATAGGTTCAAAGCAAAACCACATAAAATCTCCACGGGATATTGAAAATGTTTGTGTTTTACATGGGTTCGGAAAGGAACTGCATAAGCTCATAGGAAAAAAAGTGCAGCAGGAGTTGCTCAATACTCTTGCTACCTTTGGCTGCGGAAGCTGTAGATCTGAGCTGGTGCCAGATGGCCGGGATGCTCTCTGGAGAAATCCTGCTGGGAGCCTGCACTGCTCTTGGGCGTCTGACTGGTGCTGGAGGCAGAGAGCCGGAGCTAAGTGTACACCCTGCTATTGCTGGTTTTACAAAAAAAAATCTCAAAAGGTATTTACCAGTAATGAAAATTAATTGGGGAATGTTGTTTATATGCACATATTTTTCCTGATCTCCCTTCTCTCTCTTTTGGATGCTGTCAGAACAGAATTTTGTTTCTGCAGTGCTGGAATGCTGGTTACTATTCTTTTTCTCCCTTCTCAGACAGTTTCTAATCTGTGCTTTAAGAGTAAAGTGGAAGAAGCCCTGTGGAGCAGGGTGCTTGCATGACTTCTCTAAATTCCGCCTTTGGGGGGATCATTACAGTAATATCCACTTGGTAAAAACCTCTGCCAGGTACAGGCAGTTCAGGAACCAAGCCCAGCTCTTAGCTGGTATATATGGAGGCTTGTTTTGGTAGTGAAGGTGAGATTAGAAGTATAGTACTATAAATAAATGTGACCTTTCCATGCTGCCCTGCTGATCTTTTGGTTTCAGGGATCAGAAGAAACAGTTCCAGATGCTGGTGGAAAACAAATTCTATGAATGGCTGGTTCAGACAGGGAACCGTCAGCAGCTGGATAGCCTTGTCCCTCCTGCCCTAGGCTCCAAGCAGGCAGCAGAATAGCGTTGGCTTCCTCTACAGCAAGAGGAGAGGAAGGGTGAGTAGACAGTCTGTTTCTTTTGATTCTCCTCTAGCTAGACGAATTGCTGCGTGTTTGCATGCACAGCCTAGGCAGAGGTGGAAGAAGGAGGCTGTTCAGTGGACATTCTCCCAAGAGCCGTGCATTTGGTTTTACTTCTTATTTTGCAGTCAAAACCTCTTCAATCTGAATCTGTTCCCTGGGTGGTCAGCACCTCCCTTGTTCTCTGCAGGTGTTCTGTTTGATTTGTCAGGGACGTCTGTGTCCATCTGTGAAGGCAAACAGGCATATCGTACATGATCTGATGGAAAAACTTATTTGAACAGCAGCTGTTTCAAAGAGGCTGTGTATTAATAATGTCTGTATTTACCCGTCTCACTTTTTGCTTAAGAGAATCGAGTGAGATTTCAAATAATTCTTACTTTCTCTTCCCAAGTAGAAGTGGTTTAGGAGCTAGAGACAAGCCCTTATTGTGTTTTTTTACCATTTCATATTTCAAACTGTTACAAATTGTTTTTTTTTTTTTGTCTTTTCTTTAGTGTTTGAGTTGTTTTTCATTTGGTAGTGTTGGGAGTAAAATTTGCTCCTCTATTTTGTTACAGAGTTCTGGGAACAGGCAGCGATATACTGAAAACAGTTCTCATTAAGACTTTGCAGCCATCCTGCCTGAACACACTTGATGTGGACCTGGTGCCCAGCCTCCGTGTGGATTGGACTCTGTCTGGTTTAGGATTTCTAGTCACTGCTGCTTTTCCAGGAACGTGCTGTGACTATTCTGTTGGTAACTGAGAAAGTCCGTGTCTCTAGAGGATGCTGAACAAGAACACCTTGTTGCAGATCCTTTGGAGGCGAGGCTGTCATCATGGTTGGCATCCCTGGTGTGCAAGTATCCAGCCAAGGAGCCCTTCCTGGTGCAGCACTGGACGCGGGGCCCTGGCTGTCACGTGAATCTTTATGGTACGAGCCAGCTGCACTGGTTTTATAGATATGAAAATGAAATGTTTGAGTTTTTTAATGAATTAAATTCATTGGATTTTTTTAATATGAAGATGGCACTTAAGCAATAGGATTTTATGGAATTAACTTTCTTACACATTTGTGTTGTTTTGACAGTTGTCAATAAAGCTCAGAGTTCTCAGATAAGCCTGGCACGTGTCCCAGGGAAGAGGTTTTACCTGTGCAGTGGGTGTTAGAGGGACACATCTTTACTGCTTCATGAAATGTGAACCGGTCAGAGGAAAGTGCTAGTTTATTAACAGCCATGGAGTTGGAGGTTTTGAAGGCTGCCCTAGCACTGCATTTTGGTACTGACACTTTAATATTTCTTGGGAAGAGTATCAGCTTGAATGAGTACTGTTCTCATGGGCTAGTGGAACCTGTCTTGGGGAGATGTGCTCCTAGCTGAGCACCTAAATTAGCCAAGGAAAACAGGCAGAGGTGTCGCACGGATGTCTGAACGTGGCAGCTGTGTGTGACTTGTGCAGAGGTGAGAGTGGGAGCAAGGCAGGGGCGTTTACTGCTCTGGCATACCCGGCTGTTGTGTTGCTAGAATTTTTTTGAAGGTCACTCTTGGCTCCTAGGGATGCAGGTCATGCAAGGCAAAGCGAGTTTATGATGTTTAACGAGCTTTTAAAGGAAGGATGTTCCAGGTGGTTGCAGTGGAGATCTGAGATGTCCTACTAAACCTACTGAACCTTTCAATAGAACCTGTATTGTGGTTGAACTCTGATCTTCATAAGACAGTATTTGAATTAAAAAAAAAAAAAAAATCTAAGTGGTCTCACAGCTTTCTAGCAGTAAGAGCTGTAAGCAACAGCCGCGGGTGATTCAAGACACCTAAAATGGGAAGAGGATGAGATGCTGCTGAGCGTGTCTGTCTCAGACTGTCGTCTCTGGCTGCATTTCGCAGAGCGGCGGCTGTGTACACGGGGTGGCAGGCAGAGCTGCTGCTGCGAGACTGCTTGTCCTGACAGATTTGCAATCGGGTCTGTGTGTTTCAGGCGCTGCTGTGCCAAATTCGTTTCCCTTTGTTTCCCTAAGCCTCTGGGCTGGTGCAGTGAATAGCTGCAGAGGTGTTTTTTCACAATGCGCTGCCGGGGCGGGGGTGTGGGTGTACATAAGCTAGCAATCCCCACCCGCCCCGCTCAGCGGGCCAGAGTGTGGCTAAAAGAAAGACTTTCTCAAACCGCAGACAGCGGTGGAAGAGTTTAGAGTTGAATTGGTGACACTGGGAGATTTAGTCAGACATTTGGGTGCTGTTCTTTACCATGAGATGTGTGAGATCGCTCACTTTGGGGGTGTGTGGCCAGACGTACCTCTTTTCCTCTCCGTCAGGCAGCATTTGGAGCCATATAGCTCCAGCTGGGAGCCTGCTCTGAAAACACACAGCCTTCTTGCTGCACAGGTGTTCCCACTGTGAGCTTTTGAAGCAGAGCCTCTCTGCAGAGGCTGTTCTTTGCAAGCCTGTGGTGTCTGCTCCGGTTCCTAACTGCCCCTTTCACTGTATGGGAGTGTTCGCTGATAAATATTGGGTCCCCTCCTTACAAATGGGGATGGGCTTTTCAAGCTGACGACGAGGATGCCTTCTTGTTTAACATTCTTGAAAGGGAGAGAGCAGCCAAATTGCCCCCTGTCTTCCAGGACTTGGCAGGGGGCTGCGCGTTTTGAGCACGTTTGGCAGAGTTTTGGTGTTCTGACTCAGCAAATGGTAACAAAGGAAGGATGGCAAAGCCTTCCTTTATTCCATAATCCTGTTTGCTTTTCTGGAAGCCGGCTATAGCCTCAGAATCACTGACTCAATTTTTGGATCCTATTCTCATGACAAAGCGGCTGTCTGGTTTAAAACAAGCCCATTATAAAAAGGGCGCCTAGGATCCTGGCTGTTTGTAACAGCTTCTGACATTCCTCCAGCACTGGGGAGCTTGGCTGGAACAGAAAATGTCCAGAGCTGGAACCAAGGTAAGTTTATTTGCAGTCTGTTCATGATGGTGGCTAGGAGTACAGAATATATCCAGGGTAAGTTGTGGAAAGACTTTGGTTTCTTTGTTCTGCTGACAGCTTCCCCCTCTGTCAGTCTGTTGGCAAGAGGAGATGCTTGAAATTCCTCCTAAAGTGAAGGGAAGCTGGAGCAGGCCCTCCCTGGTCTTTTCCCAGATCTTGGCAGTTTCCTCTAGGTGAGGCTCTGCGACAGGGTGGAGTTGAACACAGTGACTGGTGTGGGGGTATTTTAAAATGCACCAGGACCAGATGCCTTGTAAATTGCTGTCAGAGGCTGCTGTGCCAGCAGCAAACGTGACAAGCTGCTTTTGCAGAGCAGAGTCTCATGGAAGGCTTCCTTGGGAGGAGCTGAGTCCCAACGCCAGCCGCCACATCCCCCTCCTGTGATGGAGCAAAGGGCGCGCTGCGACAGAAGGACGCCTGAATGATGACCATAGCAGGGAAGGCAAGAGCATTCTCTGAGGGATGCGAACCGGCCTTGCGATTTGGTGGGATCGGCAGAGATGAATTTAAACTGGAGAAGGAGGTAGAGCAGAAAGCCCAGCTTCAGCTAGAGGGGCGTGCATCAGATGGGGACCCAGCTCTGATGCCCTGTTCTTCAGCCTTGAAGTGAGCAGAGCTGAGCTGGTTGGTCGCGCAGACCTTGTGGCAGGGCTGGGACAGAGCAGGGATAAACAGTTGGGAAAGGAGGGTGAGAACTTCGGGCTAGTGGCTGGTTTCTCCTGTGAAATGTTTTAACAACTGTTAAGAGGCCGTGGACAGACATACATCTTTCCATTGTGGTAATTCTGCTTTTCAGTTGCATTCCTTTTATCCTGTGGAGACTGTAAGACCTGAGGGGGCAGGGGGCTCGGAAGCAGGGTGGTTTTGAGGGCACTGGCTGATTCTATGGCAGATCTGAATTCCATCTCTGCATCTTTCTTCTGTGATCTTGGCTCAAAGCGGTTTGGCTATTCTGTGTGGTCTTTAGATGCCGAGCATGGTGTGCTGCTGCCTTCTCACTCGGTGGCTGTCAGGGCAGTGGGACAGTCTGTATGTACCTGTGTGGGAAGAAGGTGCTGGGGAAATGTAGCAGATTCGTGCTCAACTCTCCTGTCCAGTTGAAGAGACTTGGACACATGCTGCCTTTATCCCTGCTGAAAGCCAAGTACCTGTGAGCGCGCTACAGGGGGTTTGGTGGTTCGGTGCTGCTGTGGTGCAGCAAAACGTCCAAGAGGATTTAAGTCGGTGAAAGAGTGCAAATCTCATCTTTTCTCTGTGCCATGCTCTTGCTTAGCACATTCCAGGGAGAAGAAGAGGGCAGAGAAGAGAATGAAACACTATTTCCCACAACCTAAGCAAGCGGTCTGCCCTAGAAAGGCATCGCTGCCTCCGTGCTGCTTTCTCAGAAAGCAGTGGGCACTGCTGGTTGTTGCTGACAGTTATTGTTCACCAGTTTCCTTCTAACAGAGCAGCTGTTGGGAAGAAATGTGATAACTACTGTGAGGTGGTCAAGGGAGTAGGAGTTTCACAGTCCCGTAAGGAAGATCTGCCGTGGCAAATCTGTTACCTGCCAGGTAAGTCCCCCAAAAAGCCAGGGTTGGGCAGTGAGTGGTTAATGGGTTAGTGCTGTAAGCAGAGCAGCTTGGCGGCTTTCCTGAAGGAAGGTGATGTGCGTCGGAGCAAGATGTGACTGAAATGAACTGATGAATCTGGAATTGAAATCTGTAACTCACCTGTCATTATACTGCGGGTGAAGAACGTCCGTCTGCTCTGTTTGTGCTTGGATCTTTGGAGAAAAACGGAGAAGCGCCAAGTGTGAAGGTCTGAAATGCATTGAGGGTGTGTGCAAAGAGCTGTGGTGGAGAATGGGTGGGCGGGAGCCCTCTCCTTAAGTCTTCCTAAAAATGGTTACACAATAAAACAACGAACGATGCTTCTGGTTGTTTGCTGTTGTGTGGGAACGGCCATACCTGTAACGTTCTCTTGGATTTCCTTGGCGTCGAGGCTTGGTAAGTACAGGGAGGATATCCTCCTAGGAGCACCGGGTAGCTTTGCCAAATTGAAGTTCGGTTGTGTTAGTCTGGGTGGGGAAGGAACATCAAATGAGTTTTCTGTTACAAAATTAAAGGCCAACTTAACCAGCTCCGTGCCCAGTTGCTGTGGTGGGGCATCACAAGAGGAGCTGGTTCTCCTGGATGCCAGCCATGAAATTAAAGCAGCTCACATGGAGCCAGGACCAGAGGTGGTGGAGACCTGCTCCTCTCCTGCTGCCAAGCACCCTGGGGTGAGGCAGGAGGAGGCATCCCTCTGCCCGGGTGAGCTGCTGCCTGCACCGAGACCAGCCCGGTGGTCTTGCAGACGTTGGGCAGAGTTCATCATCAGCCGTGCTGGACGCTCGCTGTGTGGACAGGAGCAGGTCTGCAGGTCAGAAGGGGCTGCCGAGCTCTGGGCATGAAGTTGAAGAGGACAAGAGCTCATCAGCTGTCCAAGTGAAGGGTTATGGCTGTGCCGCAATGCGTCCCCATGTGCCACCCTGCGGAAGGTATCACTGGGGTGCTGTGGCTTCATCCACCGCTGCCTTCCAGAAGAGGATTGCTGGTGGTGAGTGGCTGCCAGACCTCAGTGAGCAGGGCTTTCAGCGTTGCCTCTGAGCTCACGCTGGCAGATTTTTCAGGTGATGCCTCTACGGACAAAGATCCAGAAGCGGGATCTGTAAAACAACCGCAGAGCTGTGGCTGGCAAGGGCCAACCAGCATGGTTGACTACCCTGTAGTGTAGTGTGGGAAAGTGGGAATTGGACATTGTACCGTGCACCTCTTACAAACCTTTATTCACTTGCTGGAAAGGTGATAGTGATCTCCCAGCTCTCCGTGGCACTGAAGATGGGAAGAGCTTGCTTGGGAGGGAGAGACGTGGGGACAGGCTGCTTTGTAATGGGAGCTTGGTCTCTTGAAAGTAAGACGAAAATGTGACAGAAATAATATTTTCCTAATAAAAGTCTACTAACAGGCCACAAGACCACGGACATCAATCCTCTGACATGACTGGTCCGATTCTCTAGTCACACTGGGACACACTGGTGGGCTACACTGACCAACCCGTTCTAGGAAAACTCGGGTAACTTATTTTTTAACACTAAGTGAATGGGAAAAAAACAAAAGAAATGGGTTGTCCTAGTTTTGAGTCTATCTCCTGGGGTGACGTGCAGCCAGCCAGGAGCAGAAGGTGATTGTTTATCTTAATACTCAAGCTCTGGCAAAACTATGGGGAACGATGGATTAGAGGGTTCTGCATGTTTAATAGATGTTTAAATCACTGTGTCTGCAAAAATTCTTCTGGGAGCATCTGAGGGAGTTGGCTGAGGCAATCTCGGATGCTGTCAGATAACCCAGCAGCATGTATGGGGCTGATGCCACACTGGAAGGGTGGGAAAGGTGAAATGCTGTCTTGAGTAGGCACGGCGTTGGATCAGCCAACGTGCACATCGGTTGGGCTGGAGTGAGGAATCAAACTCCTGGTGAGCTGGAAGGTGGGCTGGTACTTGGGTGCAGCTGAAAGGGATCTGCTGAGACTGATTCGTGTCAAATTAATTTTTGGCATGGTCTGGCATCATGGTATTATGAGGGATATAGTCAAAAGAGATGGTTCAGGAACCCTTACTGCAAAGAGCAGCTCTTGATGAATAATTGTCATCTGGAAGGATCTGAAAATGGGGCTGGACCAAGGACTGGTCTGGGTGTAGGTCGTGTTTCCATGAAGGGCTTTTTGAAGAAAGCATGCGTTGCCTCTCCAGGCCTGGCTGGGTTGGTGGTACCTTGGTGAGAGGAGTGGGATTTGCTCACCACTTCTCAACATCGTTGGGAAACAGGTTGTGATCAAGTAGGGAAAAAGCATCCCCAAAAAAAGTGCTTTGCAGTCAGCTGCCTGGCTGGGGAGCAGCTCTTGGGCAAGACGTGTGGTGGCGGCTCGGACGTTTGTTGGCTGTATCGCTAACTTGCAGCAACCAAAGGAGAAGAAGCCAAGTGCAAATGTGATCCTCAGATGTCGGAAGAACTGTGCTACCCTGCCATGCATACTACTAGAAGCGTGCGTGGAGCGCTCTTTTAGTTTCTCTTGGAGCTGGTAAAGCTTGTGTGATGTCCAGCTTTTGCCATTGGCTTTTGAGAAAGTAAACTGTGGACATTAGAGTGGGAACAAGGAGAGTGATTGCAGGGCTGGAAGACATGGCCCAGGAGGAAACAGACCCCATCCTCCCCTTATTGGTAAAGGTGAACACCCGGGACGCCAGTAAAACGCTCGGCAAGCCAACAGAAATGAAACTCTGCCTACTGCAGTCCACCCACTGCTTATGGCTCCCTGAGCCACAGTTTAGTAACTAGAGAAGGTGGGAGGAAAATGTTTTAATAGTGTTTTGCTGCGGAGAGGACAAGGACTTTGCCAAGGGGGCTCTGGGTGGGATGGGGACAGAACTAGGTGCTGGGAAGGGCAAGGAGTTGGTGGCAGCTGGAGGCGTTGGGACCAGACGGGGGAATCGGCTGCCAGAGTTAGTTGGGATGCGGTTGATCCTGCTCAGTGGTTGGGCTTGATGACTTTTTGACATCTCGAGGGCTCTGTTTTCAGGTATTTCATGCCACAACGTGGCTGGAATACGGGTGCAGTCATGTGCATGTGCTGGGTGATGAGCCACCTCCCTGCTTTCCTCCCTCTGCTTGCGTTTCAGGTCACCTTCTACGAAGACAAGAATTTCCTAGGCCGTTCTTACGAGTGTGACGGCGACTGCTCTGATTTTCATACCTACCTGAGCCGCTGCAACTCCATCCGGGTGGATGGAGGCACCTGGGTGGCCTATGAGAGGCCAAACTTTTCCGGGAACATGTACGTTCTGACGCGCGGGGAGTACCCTGACTACCACCACTGGATGGGCCTCAACGACCGCCTTGGCTCCTGCAAAGCCGTCCAGATAGTAAGTGTGACCTCTTCCCAAGGGACGTGTTAAGTTACGCACCTGGCATTAAAGGGTTTCAGCATCTTTGGGGGTGGTCCCCATCTTCCTGGGGACCCACAGGAGCTCCCTGGGAAAGGATGGCTCTCGGGGGTTTGCTCCTGCGGTCCTGCTCCGGGAACAGCAAGGTGTTTGGAGAGTGAAGGTAAATCTCTTCCACTCTTGATTGCAATGGGAAAAAGAAGATCCTTCCAAGTGCTTTGTAGGTGAGTTTCTGTAGGAACAACAGTGTAGTTTTATCTGCCTGTTCCTCCAGGGATTTCGGTGTCCGAGCAGGTTGCTCCGAGGTTTGCCTCTTGCCTTCCCCAGGGTGTGCTGCCAAGTGCTCCAAATCTGAGAGTGGCCACAAGGCCTGTAACAACAGTGGGATGCAGATTTTGCAGGAGCATTCGGAACGAGGGGCGGTTTGTTTGCCTCTCTAGTGAGCCAGGGCTCCCTTCTGAGACAGGGACCCAGATCTCGGCATCACCGAGCCCCTCTGTCCTTCCACCGGCAGGAGATGGGGTGGATGGAGGTTCATTGTGGTTTCCCGTTGCGGGGAGCAGGTCTCACGGCTGAGAAGGGGTTTTGCTTTTATGTCTGGAGGTGTAACACTGCTTTGAGCCTGTTCTGGGTTTGAGCTAGATCTAACTCCCTTTGCAGGGGGCAGGGAGAGTGTCCAGCCAGTTCCCAGCACTAATCTGGCATAAGGGATGGAGCCAAAACCCATGGGACGTGTAAGAGCAGCGCAGCGTCCTCCATCAGGATGAAATATGGAGTTCTTATCCTGTAGGTCCACTGGAGCCTGGCTTCCCCTCCTGCTTCTGGGGAGGTCACACAGGGTCCTGCTGCTCGCAGGCGTTGGGTCCGGGCACCCTGGAGAAGAGCGCATGGATCCGAGAGACCCTGCAGAGCTCGGCTGGGGCTGGCAACGGGAGCGGGCTCGGGCGGG